CTTAAACATAAGTTATGAAGGGCTTTTGTTGACGGTCTTATTGATAATGATGAAAAAGTAGCTTCTTCTAAGAAACATACCCAATTTAAGACTAGAGTGATAAAACCATACCTTATTAAAGACCAAAATGGCCAAAATCGATACTCTATTTATGACCAAAACGGCTGAAAACCCCTACCCTTTGGGGCCGCACATACCTATAGGAGTATTTCCCCCCCCCGGAATTCTCGTCGCTCACTTTTGCGACTTTTAAAAGCCCGAAGCCAGCTGATTTCACATTGGAGGTTATCATGACAGATGACCTTCTTCTCAATGAGTTGATCGAAGACAAATTAAATTATTAAACGTCACCTCTTTTCAAAATGAAAAAAAGAGGATATCACAGTCAAATTTGTTTGTAAAGGACTGCGTAGCTTTACTTAAGGTAAGCCATTTACAATCCACGCAAAGAAATACGGATCTGTTTTATTTCTGCAGTATAGAGGCTACAGCTGCCGTCAAATCTCCCGCGCGCTCAGAATAAATGTTGCGAAACTAGTCTACGTCTTATATTTTGTCTTTGCTTGCTAGGCAAAAAGTTTATTTTTCTACTAAAAGCTTTACGTCAACGGTATTTCACCATATAATGCTTGTGATTGGTCTGAACGATGAGAAGGCCTACAATGCTCCCGGGACAATACTCCACTTTTCCCTGAGGAAAAAAAATGCACTGCTAACGGTTAGGTTACAGGGTGATAATCGAAATGCTTCGTAAAGTAGCAAGAATGCTGCGTAATTAAAACAGGATTCGTTCCAGTATTTTGTAGAGCCTGGTGGTGATAATATGCGAATTGCGCCAACAGTGCCAACAGAGCAAAGAGGAAGACAAGATTCACTATATATTTCGTCACAAGCACTTGTCACATGTATCACGCCTTCTTTGAAGGTTAAGTACTTCTCATCCGATCTATTGCAAAAACATCACGACAGTTTCATGCCACCACAGGTAACGTCAGCGAGAGATATCTCCACAGACGAAGAGATCTGCTTAAAAAAGAAAAAACCTCAGGGTTGTTGAATTGCAACATGGAACAATTGTGTTGGGGGAGAGTTGTTGTTAACCGATGTTTGTGATAACATTCAAGTCATTGAAATTGGGTTGTCAAACTTCGTGCGTTTTAGCTATTAGACGGATCAGAGTTCATGACGCGCGGATAAAATTCTGATATTTCATAACAAGTTCGTAACCTGTTTCCGTGAGAGCGCAAAATAAGCAGACTAAAGTTTCTACCTGAGTTAGGCGTTATTTCGACCATCAACTTCGTCGGCACACAATGCAATGCGTCCATTCAATCCCCTTCCCGGTAGAGATCAAAGAAAACAAAGTGTTGACCTACTAACTGAATGCAAACGACGTACTCCCATTTCAAAACAACGTGCAATCATGTTCTCAAACCGGAAACGAGCCTGGCCTGGCCTAGCGCACATGGGTTGCACAAGGCCGCGTTTGAGAAAGATCACGTGATCAATGCGTGTATCCTAACTCAGCTAGCCACTGCCAACATTTTGTTATTTTATCGTGGACGAGTGTGCGTGCACTGCGAAAGCAGATTTTGTCGGGATTTGCAGAAAGCTCACCTATACCGTTAGTTTCGGGCTGTGCATTTTCCTTAACTTATATCCTGGTTGAGTTCTAATTAAGGAGAATCTGAAAGACTCGATGGAACATTTCTTTCCCTCGGACGCCAGCGGAATTTTGCTGCTCTCTCTCCTCGTCGTTTTTCAGGTAATTGAAATTCCGAGAAATGTGTTTTTGTAATAATTGTGGGTGTTGAAAGAATGGGAGATTTTTCGCACATCAGTTAAAGGCCGCAAGTACCTCTCAGCTTTAAGGAACAAAATTTCGTTTTCTCATATGCCCGGCTCAAAAATCTTTTTTACGTAATGGGTGCAAAGTTTTATAGCAAAATAAGGCTCTTCATTGCCAAAGGAGATATTGCGAACAAACCGGCTATTTCAATGTTTGAAATATTGAAACACTAGCTTCAAACAACGTTGCGATACGTTTCAGTCTGTCTCTGTGTGTGGTGGAGGCAATTTGATTTATAGGTCGGTGTTGGGTCACCTTAATTTCCTGTTCTGTGATCAGGGCATTTTATAAATCATTAAGTAACATATTTCTTATAAAAGGGCATTCAAATTTACAATATCTTTTCTCCGTCAGCCCAAGTTGTAGCAAGTGAAAGGCGCGAGTTACAGTATGCATCTGTGTCAAAGCACGGTGTCATATAAGAATGTTGTGTGTAGTATTTACAGTGAACAATAATTCACTTCTCTCAATAGTCCTCAATAGCAAGGTACCGGTAAGGACGCATATCTTGTTTTACAGTTTGGTTTCCGGTTGCATTCAATTAGGGTATCAGCGAATCGATTTTCAAAAATTAGAAGACTTGCGACTTCTTCTTCCACAGCCGGACTCTCTTAACTTGTGCAAAAGTGGCCAGATTCTTTGGGAAGCCAACTTTTTTCTATCAAGTTGTGACATCCGTTTCATGGTCTAATCGTGACATATTTCTTTCAACGGTCGGGCTGGAGAGTAAAACGGATTAGCGAGAGAGTTATGTTGCATCAAGAAAGGGGCGTGTGTATATTACGAGAGAGTTGTACTTTTTTGGCTTGCCTGAACCTCGGATATTATATTGGCGGAACACGTATTTAATCCAGTGCTTCAGAAGACTCGAGCAAAAGGACAAATATTGGTTATGTCTCTCGGAAATGAATATTTTTACGAGTTTAAAAGAATAATTGCCACTCATTATTCAAAGTATAATAACAGAGGTCATTCTGTTGCGCACGCCAGTCTGAGGCCAAATAACAAACAATGAACCATGACAAGCTTAGGTTTACAAACGACACAAATCACCTCAAATCCATGGAAAATTTCATTTCTTTTCTTTTCTTTTCTTTTTTTTTTTTTTTTTTCTAAAAGATACTGCGAAGATCAGGTGTCAGTGACTTTTTGATTCTTTTAATTGTTATTCATTAATAATGAATGTACACTGGATCGAACCCCTTTATACGGTCACCGAAGGGACATGCAGAAGTGTCCGCATTATCCGGGTGACCTTTTTAGTTGTCGGGACAAAGAAAACTGTCCGTTATACTGCGGTTTTGATTCGCAGCAGTTTCATTTAGCCAACATAGAGAAACCCGTTTGTTTTTATTCAATGAAAACAGACGTTTAGTCAAAACATTATTAAACCTTAACGTTTGTTTTGTTTGGTTCAGTTGGTCACGATCAGTTCGCGTGTGGATTGATTGGGGGAGAGGATTAGACGATTTGTCACGATTATACTGGTTCATGCCCGCAAGGTGCCATAACTGATTCGCGTTCTCAACAATCAAAAAAAATACTAAAACTACACACTTATATCTTTCAGAATGACTCTGTGAACGATTTCAAAGATCAGATGTTAACACCACGCTTGCCTTTATACTTTTTCCGACTGGATGAAGAGAAAATTTGCTATAGAAATGTCGCTGCAACTCACGATCACCAAACTAAAGGTGAATTTGTTAAATTCACCACGCGATCAAGACAATTAGCAAAGCAATGGTTACATTGTATTGATATCTGAGTGGCTGCTAACAGCTCTTGTCCAATCAAAGCTGTCTTTTTTGGTTTAGAACAGGAAATTTAAATCTAGCAACCAGCTAGAGACTCGTTCAGTTCTAGTTGTTTTTGCTTCTTTGGAGCTATTTTTAGAAAAGACCTCCTTCAATTGCAAGTTGACTCCTCACCAAGAGATCAATTTTAATCGGCACAAAGTGTAAAGGATTATCGAGTCAAGTAAGGAGCTTTTCAAGCTTGCCCCAAGTGTCACTTTGTTGTCCATAGTGGCAAGTACAAGAAAGATCAAAAGAAATATCAGTTATTTTTAGCNACCGCCTCCTGACATTTCCTAAAAGAAAACATTGCTGAAATTGTATTTTTTTCGTAAAGTACATTTATTAAGGTTTCTTATGATATATAGTTTGTGGGGGTTTTATTGAAACTGGCGCGCGTACGATTTTTTTCCCGAAGGGCACCTGCGAAGGTGGGAGGTAACCTTAATGAAAGTTTGAAAATAGAGAAAACCAGTGCGCAATCTCTCCTACATGAGCAAAATCAGTCCAATGTGGACTGGAAAAATGTGATCAGCTGGTTTTCGATGGGCAAAGTGTATTACTAGAGCACAAGAGACACAGATCATGGTATCTTGTAGGAAATTTAAATATTATTCCTTGGCTCTGAGTACAACGGTTGTCATTAAAACAGCACAGTAGGAAAACCAGCAGGTGAACTATGATGAACAATATTTCTCAATAGCCTGTTTCCTTTTCTTACTCCACAGGTTCCAGCATCAGCCGGCCCAGGAGGGAGATTGACCGTTCTTCTGAAGACTTTCTCGAATCCATCAAGTAAAGACTTAAATGGAGATTGTTGTGAATCGTCGTGTAGAGGCTGTGATTATTTTCTGCAAATCTGTTTGAAACAAACTTCCGGGGCATCCTGTGTAGCGTCTGCCACGACAAACATCTATTATAACACCAAGTATGTCGTCTTCAAAAACGGCGAGGGTTTCTCTAGTGGCGGAAAAAACCCTTTGATATGGCACTTCTCTTCGTGGACGGTAAGCTGACTAATAAGTAAAGTAACCCCTCTACCCAATCAACCTCTCATCTCGATAGACTCTGGAAAGAGGATTTAGAGTCCCATTAATTAATTTCTGTGCACCCGGTAACTATTTGTGCGTGGTGTTATTCCCTTTTTGAACACGAAATAGGGATTCTTTTATTCTCTACTTACTTTGAATGGCCCAAAAATGACTTTGAAAATGGCAAAATTGAATGCGGGTATGAGTGGGCTTCATTTGCATTAGAAACACCAAGAAAGTCTCTACCACCACCTTGCAGACGACATGTTTATTTTCTTCCCCTGATTCGTTGACAGTGTATTTATGTTGCAAGGACAATTAAGATGATAATCACAAAAACGATTTAAATTAAACACCATCTTTTCTCCTAGGGATCATTTGTGGCGAGCATCAAAGCTTTGGACTATGATCCACTTTCTTCTGATGATGTCATTGACAGGTACCAACAGAAAGTCAACGTTAACCCAACGTCATGGGTGTCTCCCACCAAATGGCGACAGATTACTCTTGGAGGTAGCCCCTCAACTACTATATTACAATACTCCGTTCAATGTAATCAAGATTATTATGGACCCAGTTGCACCACGTACTGTGTTGCACGCAGTGACGACTTAGCTGGTCATTACACGTGTGATAAAACCACCGGTCACAAGGTTTGTCGAGCTGGATGGCACGGTGTCAGCTGTAAGATCTATTGTATGCCTCGTGATGATGACACGCACGGACATTACAACTGTGAGTCTGGTACAGGAAGAAAGATTTGTTTAAAATACTGGTATGGATCTAGCTGTAACGTGCACTGTGCCCCTAGGAATGACTCCCTGGCTGGTTACAACTGCAATTCCCAGGGGCAAAGAGTTTGTTTGCAAAACTGGTATGGGAAAAACAAGTGCGACGTTTATTGTAAACAGACCAATGATTCCAAAGCTGGTTACATCTGCGACACAAATGGAAACAAAATATGTTTACAAGGCTGGTATGGACCATCTTGTGATTGTACGCCAAGGAATGATTCGTCCATGGGTTACATGTGTAATATTACCACTGGCAAAAGAGAGTGTCTGAAGGGGTGGTTCGGTGATCGCTGCGATATTTTCTGTTCACCGAGGAACGACCCTGCAGGTCATTACACTTGCCACAGTGGTACTGGAGCTAAGGAGTGTTTGCCCAATTGGTTCGGGAAAAACTGTACCGTGTACTGCAAGACCAGGAATGACTCTCTAGGTCAACACGAGTGCACAATAAATGGAACCAAATTATGCGCCCGCAACTGGTATGGACCGAATTGCACTGTTTATTGCACCTCAAGAGATGATAATGCAGGACATTACAGTTGCCATCCACAGACGGGGGAGATGGTTTGTAACCCAAACTGGTACGAGAAGAGCTGCACAGCATACTGTGTGCCTCAGGACAGCGATTGGTACGGTCATTACAACTGTAACAAGATCGATGGCAGCAAACAGTGTCATAACAATTGGTTTGGAATCCAGTGCTCTATCTTCTGTGTACCACGCGATGATTCACGCGGGCACTACGAGTGCGATAAAATCAACGGCAGTAAGATTTGTATGGAGGACTGGTTCGGAACTGAGTGCAGAACGTATTGCAAAGCAATGAACAACTCACAAGGACACTACCACTGTGATGTCGATGATGGGACCAAGATATGTAACAAGGACTGGTTTGGACCAAACTGTACAGCGCACTGTTCATCGAGAAATGATTCGCAGAGGCATTATGAATGTGATTCTGGCAATGGAAACAAGATATGTCACAGGAGTTGGTTTGGCCCTAATTGTTTAACGTATTGTATGCCAAACAATGACTCTAAGGGGCACTATGATTGTGGGTCAGCGGATGGTGCTAAGATTTGTCATCCAGCTTGGTATGGCCGTAACTGCTCCGTGAACTGCATCCCAATGGATGGTTTAGCCGGGCACTATAGTTGTGATGCCGCAGATGGAAGCAGGCTGTGTTACAGGCATTGGTACGGACCTAACTGCACGGTATTTTGTAGATCACAAAATAGCAGTCGAGGGCACTACACCTGTGATAAAGAAACGGGCCAACAATTGTGCCTCGAAGGCTGGTATGGAGCCTTGTGCCTTCAGAGTAAGTGGATTCGATTGGCTATGCCAACGTAACATATTCCAGATTTATTTATAAAACAAACAACACACTAAATGACTGTTCAGGTTAACAGATCACATTTCAAAAAATGTCCTCATCCAACCTGATTCCACTCTCAACTAATAAGTGCTTTAGTAGTTAAGCGCTGAAAACGAATTTAATAGGTGGACCCTGTCGGGGTCACCATACTAAATCGTTCACATAATATATAGAAGTGTCAAAGCCATGTATGATATCGAGATCCTATGCGCTCTTTTAAACACATTTTGTCTGTTCAAGCCCTACTGATTTGCGTTCCGGGCAAATACAGATGGAAGAGGAGAAATACTTTTATTGCTCCTTAAAAGTAAACTGGCGTCTTCACGATTTGGAATCATTTAACGAGATCGCATTCAATGTGACTATGTTACGACTGTTTCAGTTAGAAGGAATACGGAAAACAAACTGTTGTCCTTGACCTTGAGGTATCTAATACCTTTAATTCCTTCGTTATATGTTTTGCGCCTTACTTATAGAAGTTACTACAACTTACGCACATGAAAGGATACCTTCGTCATCGCCGCTTCCATCAACCGAGTCGAAAACCATGGAGCCATCTCCGGTCTCTTCAACAGAACTGAGATCTACAGAATACAGCATCCTTCCTCCGTTACCAAGTGAGGAGCAAGTTCCAGTGCAGAAAGAAAGCAGAAAGACAGCTAAGGGAGGATGGATGACAAACACGCGTATTGGTTTGATCACTGGTGGCTTTGCGCTTCTGTTGTGCCTTTGTGCTATAGTAATGATGTATTTGTTAAGGTAAGCCGCGAGAAAAGGTTAACAAAAGTACGTGTTTGTATAGCTTGAGAGCCCCGACTGTATTTCGATAGCCAATGCAAGCCCGAATCGAATCGCACTGCGGGGGAGGTAGGGGGAGGTGAGGGGAGGGGGGGGGGAGGCGTTCAAGTTCTCGTTAAAAACTTGCAATAAAACTTCATCAAGAGGTCTACTTGCCTGACATCTAAATTTCTTATTCCAGTTGTAGACCCAGAATGAAGAGGATTCGCTACTCTAGACAACGTGATAAAAAAGAAGGGCGTTCCTTGAAGAGGAGGAATTCATGCGGCATAGTAAACACAGCAGCGGACATCCTTTCACAATATGAAATGAACGACATGTTCTGTAAAGTTCAGCAAGTGTCATGGTAAGTAATGTGAAAATTTCCAGAGACGCAATTGTAACATATATTTTATGTAACATAGAACAGTCTTAAAATATGTTTTTTTTTTCTGGAGGACAAAACATATTTGCTTGAAATGTCCATAGCAAAATCATCGCGTACTAAGCCATACTGTGCTACTCGTTGCGTATTTTTGCAGTGAGCAACAGTCTTATAATGCTACTCATGATCATCGTCTTTCAAAACAATGGCTTTTTTTGTAGCTTTGAACAACCCTCGACAAAAAAAGCGATATCGTATGGTAAAGATGGGAAAGCCCTGGTATTATTTTACTCAGAAAATGAAAGTTTCCAGCGCTACCAACTATGAATAAACGTGGATAACAAGATGCCCAAGAGCAAAATAGAAAATAACTTGTTGGGAAGAATTACAGGATTCATTTATCAGGGTAGAAGTGAAGAATTTTCACGGATGAGTACTATCCATCCGGGTATTTTCCTCGGACGGGTACTATGGGCTTATAGTGTCTCTCCGCGGATGAAGACTATCGCGTCACGTGGTCAATTTAAACCAATAAGAATCGGAGAAAATTTAGTGTTTAACTATAATTTGTGATAGGATCTCAAGAAATCAAAATTGCCATTCTGGTTAAATTGTGAATCCTTCAGTCGTTATATCTTGTTTTTGGCTGATATTTCTTTGCTTTCGATATCTTTTTGTTTTACGTTTCTATGTTGCAACTTACCAAAGCAAGTTTATAAGCAAACGTCAGGCCCTATTTATTAATACATGATATTTCCGCTGGAACACGCCCCTTTAATAATTAACTGATCACGAGAGATTGGTTTTCTTTTCCAGGACTGAAGACGGTTCAAGGCAGGTGGATGATCACTTGGTAATGTACAACAACCCTTTGTCTAGCGCCCGAAAACAAGTCAAACGCGGTACTGGTAAGAGACAACTGACCTTGGACAGTGATTGGAACGTGGTATTTGACTTATGAGCTAACACGTGCGTCCACGTGTCCTATGACATAAGTCCAAAGCGTAGAACATTAACACGACAATAATTGTCCAATAAAAGGCGTACTCAGTAGGCTCTGATTTTACTTCGTTCACTGTATTATTACTTGTAATGGAGTAGAAAGCGAAGAACCCTTCCATCGAATCGTGTTAATATGGTCACGTTTTAAGAACTGTTCAGCAGGTTAGATCTAGACTATGAACTGTCCTTCTGTTCATTTAATTCCTATGGTGGACGTCATCATGGAGCTACTGCGAGAGCAAAATACATCGAACAGTACTGCGTTTTGTGGGGATAGAAAGGTAGATATAACTGCAACAAAGTCAGTACAAAATATTGGTAAACTATGGATTGGTAGCGGTCTAACTCTCTCAAATCTTAGTCAGCTCTTCGAGCGGGCAAGGTTAACCGCATTCTTCGCTGTGATTGGCTATCCGAGAGGGTAACATGGGTACGGGATATGTCTTGTCCGCTGGGGATTGCTGGTGTTTCCGGCAACAAAATCGTGCCCTGTATGCAATAAAATGAATCCCTTATTGACCAATCTTTTTCGCTCAAGATGGTTGGGTATTCACCTCGATCTTTTGTTAAATTGTTTATGGACTCAAAAGAGATCTGCGACAATTATTTCAAGCCGTCTTCACCTCACGCTTGGCCAATGCTCCCTAAATCTATATTACGTTTTTGAATGTATTCCGGCTCACAAGTTATTTCGTCTGGTTAACGAAAATGACGAGTAAATTAATTTAGGAATACATTAAGAAACAAAGTGATTAATGTAGTCGTTCAATATAAAGGACTCAAGAGGCTATGATCTAGATCATAGTAGTCTCTTGAGTCCTAATATTTTCCTTGGATAAAAGGTGCGTATGTAGTGTTGGTGTAAATTTTTAAGCTGTTCTTAAAGGGATAGTGTGTCTGTATTCATTTTGGGACAGACTATGTTATTTGTACGCTACTGAGAGCGGCAAGTTAATAAGAATTAAGGATGATGCAACTGAAACAAAAAAAAGAAAACAAATTACACCGTAAATGTCTTTCATGGCCACCGAGAGGCTTGTTCACCGGTACTGAACTATGTAAAATACAGGTAACGATAAATGAAAGAAAAATGACAAAGAGAAATTGGCTTCAAAGATTCATCGAAATGTTCAATGTCCAATTGTTTAAGAAAGTAATTTAATGCCCGATTCGAGAGAATTTGTAAAACATATTGTAAAAGGGACTTGGCTTTAAGCAATTTTTGAGATTTTCAACATGTACCTACAATCAGCGACAAAAGTGTTGAGACATTTTGCAGTAAAATTCGATTTTCGAGCGTTCTGAAAATATCCCCCCACCCCCCTAAACAATATTGGTTTTATTATTTCTAAGACTGCACAGACCACAGCGCCTACAAAACATTGAATTTGGTTACAGGGGGTATCAGAGAATTAACGCTAGATGTAAATAAAATATAAGAAGAGGTTAATTATGGGAAGCGTCATCTTCTAAAAGTGTCTCAACTCTTCTTGTCGCTTATTGTAGTTTAAGTTAAAAGTAAGTGTAAAAGTATTATTGTGAATCCATAGCCTACGAGAATTGATACAAAAGCGACAGAGGAATGGCTAAAAAAATGCTGAAATCCCTATAGTGATACAGGAATTTACCACCTAAGTGTAATTAAGTTAGTGTTATTTCTGCAATGAAGTATTTCTGCAATAAATTATTTTGATATGTGTACAGTGTGACAAAATGAAATTGACTATAGGAATAAGAGAATGTATGTAATATAATCTACATTTCAAGTAATAATATCAATGGAATTCAAATATAATAGCATGTTATATAATAAGATTTCGTGTTTCTTCTTTGACGCTAAATGAGGGGTTTTACCATGTTTGCTTTACAATATACTAGCTGCAATGAAAACGTTGCAAGATACTACATGACAATGGCTTTGACAATTGCACTAGGAAATTTCCGCGTTGCGTGTGCAGTAAAATCAAGTGCTGGAATTTTCTCTAACTCTAGTAGCTTCTTGTGCTATGTAATACCGTAATACAGCACTCTACGGTTACGATTACACCTTTAAGCAACAAAACTAAAATTTATCTAATTAAAATGTCAAGTTTGGTTATTATATAAAGGCCATGGCCGGGAATACGTCTAATTGGACGACGCCGGGTGAGAACAGATTTAGAACATACTAGCTTTTCTGGCTTTTGTTGAGTGTGTCCGGCTATTGAGGTTCAGTTGGATTGTTGCAAACTGGTGCAGAGACTCCTAGCCAAGCGCGATCCTGAACAAAAAGGCATAACAATGCTGTGGTCGTTTTTCACCGCAACTGTAATCTTTCTGAACTTGGTGGTAAGTTAGTTACTTCATAATGCCGACATCACGCTGCCTTACGGGGCGGGTACGTAAATATATGTTGCATTTTGGTCTAAAATGGAGTGTCCCCTAATTCAGAAGACTACAACAAGGGGTCCAATTTTCGCATTTACCCTGCAACAAGTGACAAGGCAGCTAAATGAACTTCACTTTTGGTTCGAACTGGCAGATTCTTTTGAACGAGGGAGACACCCTCTGCTAGAGGCCAAGTGCTTCAGTTTCCTATTGAAATTTCGGGTATTCCACTGACTTAGTCTTTCAAACAAGTCGCTCTCCGCACAACATTTTGTTGTAGGTAATGGATGAAATATTTTCCAACTGCTTTAGACTGTTGCCGTAAACAGCAAATGCTATAAAGGCGTCTTTGTAAAGAAGAAAAGTTCTAGAGAATAAATCTTGTTAACACCGGAACCGCTGGAATTTAAACTAGCAGCCGAACAACTTGATTTGATTACCGAGCTACTTTTAGATTGTAAAATCATTTGATTCTGCGGAAATTTTCACAAATAAACTGGAAGTTTTAAATCCTGTGGGAGATACAGTGAGTTGTAACACAAAAATAGAGGCAGAGGGTTAGGATGTACGTGTGAATAAAACGCTGGCCATCAAATAAACAAAGTCCCGGAACAAACCCTATATCTGATGTCCAGGTGCAATGAAATATCCTCAATGAAACTTCACGCCTTCATAAACTGATCTTCTTGAAGCTAGGCCAAGGGCAAAGTTTTTCTTGATACGAACCGACTTAAGTCCGTAAATAACGCTTTTATTTCTTTTTATTCTTTATGATTCTTCGTTCAAAAAAGCTCCTAAAATTAATAGCGAAATACTGAAAATACGAAGTGAAATAGCCATTCAAATATCGACGCATTCGGAAATCTTGCGAAACACGGCTTAACACTTGATTTTTTGCTCCCAGTACAGTTTCTAAGAACGTTTGGCCTTGAGAAGCACAAGACCGTAAGTTATGATGCCGTTTCTGTACCTTTGCGCAAGTATCGTCCCGGCACCGCTGCATGCCTCGAGCAGTCCTGAGGCCTCGAGAACTCCAGGCCATCCCCTTACATCCTCCTGGCCGGGGCATTAGGCCCTTTTTTTTTTACAACAAATGAATTTATTCACTCTTTTTTTTAAAATGTATTTTATAAGAATATCGAGGCTGAAGTTTGCGAAATTATGTTGTTAACTAAATCTTATAAAATTCTTCCTTTCTCTAAACGGCAAAACTAGCCAAAAACCAAAACTAAAGAAAAAAAACTATGTTCGATGCTAACAACATTGCTACAAGAAGTTATGTGCGTCATATCAGGCTTAAATCCCTGCGGGCTGGCTCCAAAATTACTTTTATTAACACCATCCAGACACCAAATTCATTCGAAAACAAATGTAATACGCTATAACCTAGCTAAGAATATTCACAAAATATATTTTCAGCTTCAGCCAGAGAACAATATTTTTAAAACAGAGTGAACTATGGAAAAAAAGAGTGTACACAGAGGATATTATATGCCCACGCGTGGATACGAATTCTAGCTTCAAGAGTTCAACTCCATATCTTGCGAGTAAGCGCAGCGAACGAATGAGATATGAGAAGATAGAATTCGTATCCACAAGCGGGCATGTAATATTCTGTTATTATATAAACATACTCAGTAGTGACGACGTTTTTTGACGATTTTCCGAAGATTTCCGACCACTTTCCGAAGATTTCCGAAGATTTTCCAATATTGTTCCAAAGGCCAGACGGACGCTTCCGAACATTTTCCAAAGATTACCGAAGATTGCCGAAGACGACCGAAAAAGATCGGAAGATGTTAAAGGACAAAAGAGAAATGTTATCAAAAAGGAATGATATCTTCACAGTGTGAAAGATAAAAATAGTATCTTCACTGCGCGCGATGAAGATATAATTTTTTAGTAAATAATGGTAATTGAACAGAGTGGAGTGCAGTTTGGTCTGAAATCATACGAGTGACTTCAAAATCGAACGAGCGCGCAGCGCGAGTGCGATTTGAAATCACAAGTATGATTTCAGACCAAAATTGTACGACACGAAGTTCAATTGCCACTTTATTAGCTCCATTTTGAAATCGCACAATTTTTCAATTTAAATTTTAGATTTTTGTATAGCGGAACCGGAAACGCCTTTACGTCTCATTTAGTTTGCAAAACGATGTCATGTGACGAAAACTCATTCGAGCATGACAAAGAAACAAGCAGTTCTGAAGTCAGAACGAAAAGTATAAAAGTTCAATTCATGTCGCCTGAATCAATGATGGAAGGCCTTCCTTTCTTCTATGGTTGAGGCGGAGACTCTTCGTTGTCTTTGGAGAAGGAATCTGAGCGTGCATCATGTGTAATTCTGCGATGGATTTCTTTTGAGTTGTGAAACTTCCTCGAGTGCACGATGCCCAGTGGATAGTACGTTTTTTTCTTTTAAACACCGTTAAATTGCATGATTTTAAGCGAGTCCAGCTCGTTATCATCTCCGTTTCTTTTTGTAACGACCACTGAATAGGACTCAATACTCAGGACCTTGTCAAGTTCTTGCGGCGCCATTTATTTCATGATATTTTCAAGATGGCGGGACTGGCACCAGATTCGTAAGACGTTCGCCCACTCACTGTTTTGTGCAGTAGGGCGTATTTTGACTATGTTTATTCCTGCTATTCACAGTGACAGAGTTGAGAGCTCATGTGTTGCTTCGTTTGAAACTACCGGAAACCTAGCCTGCGAACAGGCTTCCAGCGAGGGCGGAAAAAAAAATTCGGCGAGCGAAAGCGTGATTCCGTGAGCGAAGCGAGTGAGAGTCGGAGCGTGATTCCGCGAGCGAAGCGAGTGGGACGCGGGGGAACCTGTAGACATTGTTTTTGATACGCCGTTCCGCCCCTTAGTGATTAGCCTGTTACAAATCAGTCAAGTAGGTAATTAAACCCGTCAAAATTGATGGTTTTTCCCGCGCTGATATATCGGCTTTTTATAGCATTCTACCGCACGCGGGTTTTGCGGTAAGGGGAAATGCAAGGCGAACGGGAACGTATTTGCCGTTTCTGCAAAAAGTTATTAAATCCGCTTGAAGGGAAAAGAGTGCCGGTGGTGTCAGTTTTTANTCATGTTTCAAACCAGAGATGTGATGAAAATGTTGCAAAGAATTGCTCAAAGCTGCCTCGAATTCCACGTCAGTGAACTGTACATTGCACGCAGAAACCATCTTTGTCGGTCGCGGCAAGAATTATGCAAATTTACATGCAGTTGTCAGTATCTGTCAAATATTTATCTCAAAGCTTCTCAAAGCTGTCAACAGTCATCGATTCAACCAATCAGATCTTGATACCAGGAGCTGGTATCATGGAACGGCAGCATCAATGGAATGTCTACAGGCTCCCCCGTGCACTCCCTCGTCACCAGACCGCTCTCGGCTCGTCCCGCTCGCCCTGTTCTACACTCGGCTAGCTCGGCTCTGAAACCAACCGGGAGCCTGTTCGCAGGCTACCGGAAACCTGGAAACATCTACCTTTTTGGCTGTGAATTTATTGTTGTGTGGTTTTCGTTTGTTTATGTTTTACTGAAGTCGGTATCATATGGATCTTGAACAGATGTTGGAGAAAAATCGCCAAAATATTCGTCAAAATGGGCACTGAAAGTTGGAAACTTCCATTAAAGGAGGTCTTCAGCCTGAAGGGTTCTTAATCTTCATTCAGAAACTGTAATTAATTCAATTCATCAATTTTCTGGGGAAAAAACAACAATAACAACAAAGTTTTGGCAGTAGTTGCAAAATTCTCCACACAATGGCTTTTTGCCTTTCATTTTCCTAAAATTTTATTGATTACTTTAAATTAACCTTGAAATCTGATTGCTTGTTCTGTTTTACTGTCCCATCCTACTCATTCTCATTGGCTGAGAAAAAGATGCGATTTAGAGCAAAAAATAGTGCGATTCGTGAATAAATCGCACCACTGAGAGCCAATCAGATTGCAAGGATAACCAGTGATTTCAAAATGGATTTAATAAAAGGAAAAATCCTGGTATTTCACTGGTGTATGTATAATAATATAAAATGTAATATGAAAAAAAAATTGTGTTATCAATAGGTATCCTGTGAAGGACGTGGCCATGTGGTAGTGAAAATAAGAAGCTACAAGAATCCGACCCATCGCGGGCTCGATAATGAATGTTGCGACAGAAAAATCTTCGGTTGCTCTGCATGTGATGCATACTTTAAATTGTGCGTGACCCTTTCAGCATCCAGCCTTGCTCACAACTGCAACCTCGGAAGACTCGACACTGGCGTGGTAGGCCGCGGGGATGATCATAGCTTTGACGAAAATCGCTATAAGAAGAGCTTTGCCTTCAGTTCCTTCCTGGTAAGTGTATTACTATGGTAAAAGAATCTTCCCCAGAGCCCTCTCGTATAAATTCAGGCAATTCCATCTACCAATAAAGCATTAAAGAGCTCTTAAAACTTGGTTGTTAAGTGCGGACTAATCGAATCGAGATCAAGCTGGAATTTAAAGTGGTACTATGACGAAAATCGCATCTTTCCTGTCTAAGCCCGGTGGCGGCACTGCCATATATCGGCTGTATAGGTATGTGCCGCTGTGAAGGGTATGGTTTTCAAGCTGTTTACTCTAGGATAGGGTATATAAATCAGAGCATTTGGGTCTAGAATAGGGTATCATTTTTCACAAAACTGACCGATTGGTTGAAGATTTTACCTAGANGTTAGCAAAATTCAACTGAACTAGCTCTGGTATAGGCTAAGGGTTCCAGGGTCCCAGCGGCACATCCCCACCCAGAAATTCCCAAAGTACTCCCCCCCCCCCGGGTGTCTAAGCCATTTTAAAACATAGACTAGTAGTCTGTACGAGAAGAGAAACGCTGTTTGCTACTTTCAAATATCTCTTTTCGTTCCAGAGAAATTCAAGTTTTTAAAATATGCATATTAGCTAAGTGATGCCTTAAACTTAACCGGATTTTGATCAAATATGAGGAACAAACATATCTCAGCCAATCTGAATCAGAAATTTTTGATTCTTGGAAGTACAATTCTACTAGAGATACTCCAGAATATGAGCCTAGTATTTGTGTTACCATGTAAACATACTGGTTTCCAGACTTCCCCGATATTCAAGACTTTTCTGGCACATTTAATGTTCTATGTTGATATTCATTTGCCAATGGTACCTGATCTGCATGATACAGCAAGCATATAAATATGTTAGGTCAAGTTTATGGCCTTGTTTAATGTTTTTCGAGCTGAAAATCACTAAAACATTAAAATCAGGTTGCATGGGAGGGACTGGACTTGAAGAGTGAGTTGCCAGTGCAGATATTTGCAAACGGTAAACGACGTTTTTAATCTTTCGTGGAATTCTATGTGATCAACCAGGAACCTAAAACTTCGAGGAGTGAAAATTTGATCATTGTATCACTTAAAAGACTTTTTTGGGCAAAATTATTCGGCGGAGTAAAGATGAGAGCCAATTAAACCTGAACAAACCCAGTAGAAGCATAATTTTGTGAGGCTATCATATGAGTTCAGGATTCGAACCGGGTCCACATTGTTGAGGAGCGGACCAGAGGGTCAGAGCTAGAGTGAATTAAAATCTAACAGCTCCTAAAATTTAAATTACAATTCGAGCGTGAGTGCAGTAAATTGCCTTCAATTCACCTATTTCCGAAGTACTAGCCTTGCATCTCAAATTGTCTTTTTAAACTGCAATTGAGATACAAGTGCAACTCGTGAATCAAGGAAGATAGAGAATAAAATTAGTCCTCCATTCAAACATTTGATTTATATTTTGACTTCAGGGAAGAGTTAATTTGAATCTGGAAGTTTGGGATAAGGACATATTTACTGCTGATGACTTAGTGGACAACATTAAAAAATCCTTTCAACCAAGGGTAACTTCTGGCAGCTTCAACAAGCAACTTGTGACGCTTTCTGGCAGTCGCGCCACCGTAACACTTCAGCTGGAATTACATTGCGCCAAGAACTACTACGGACCAAGTTGCAGCTTGGAGTGCATCCCGCGGGATGACTCAAGCGGACACTACACGTGTGACAACCAGGGAAGGAAGATTTGCAGGCAACATTGGTATGGAGGTAGCTGCACTCGGTGGTGTATCCCGCGAAATGATCCATTTAACGGTCACTTCAACTGCGACAAACAGGGAAACAAGATATGCCTACCCCGTTATGAAGGGCTTAATTGTAAGAGATGCGTGAAAAACTGGTTCGGTCCCCGCTGCTCTACGTACTGTGTGTCTCAAGATAGTCATGAGCAAGGACATTACAAGTAAGTAATTTCCTAATGATTAGGGTGGGAGGGGAAGGAGTTTCGCTGGGACGAACAGTGAGAAGAAGCCACGAACCTGACTTACCATGACCAAACTAATACCAGTGTACTGGTATTAGAGAACTTAAGCGGGAAAATAACAGGGAACATATGACAAATAAGACACTCGATCAGTTGTCAGGACCCTAGTCAGTGTCAATACGTTAACAGTGTCTGTATCTCATTTGTGTCCTACAGAAAGAAATCCGCATCGGACAGATGCGCGTATGCGTAGACTGATAGAACGAACTAAGGGTTCAATTGTTTCCATAAATACTGTGCCCCGAATACTGCGCATGACAAAAGTGCCATATGCTTAGTTTGTTGGAAGTGGCGAACATCCAGCACAAATCGAATTAGACATCTTTAACTTCGATACAGAAAATGACTACGATAAAAGTCGACCGGCATAGCAGTGAACATGTCAACAATTCACCGAGTAACTAAGTTGTTTGTCTTTACAATGGTTTGGTTGAATCGAGTCCGTGATAATGTTTTTTTTTTTTTTTAATTGAAATTTCGTATGCATGTGCTCAAAAGTCGACACAAGAACATACCTTGATACCCTCTTCTCTTGGTGCGGAAAATAATAGGTTAGTTCAGTTTAAAATCTCATGGAAAGCAAAACAAAAATTGCTCTTTATACAGATGTGGACGATACGATGGTTCGAAGGACTGTCTACCGTGGTGGTTTGGTAACGAGTGTAAAGCGCACTGCATTCCTCACGACGATGACGACAACGGACATTACAGCTGTGCGCCTGACGGAAGTAAGACGTGTCTTGATGGATGGTTTGGCGGGAATTGCACGGTGTTCTGTGTTCCCCGAGATGACGAAGGAGGGCATTACACTTGCGACAAGGAGGGTAACAAAGTGTGCTTAGATGGATATCGTCCCCCGGAGTGTATAAACTGCTTTCTGGGTCGATACGGCGCCAACTGTTCCTTGACGTGTTTGGGGAACGATACGTCCACATTCCAACAAGGCTACTTTTACTGTACCGAAGATGGAGCGAAGAACTGCAATCGGTGGTGGTATGGGCCCGCGTGTTCGCAGTACTGCGTGCCTCATGATGACAGCATGAACGGGCATTACACGTGTGATGAACGTGACGGAAGTAAAGTCTGCAGGCCTGGCTGGGAAGGGCCAAGCTGTCTTGATGGAAAACAGAAGTGAAAATGCCACGCGGAGGCGAATATTAGAAACCATCATGCCTACGACAAGTTCAATATAACACAGCGTGAACTGTAAGAATCGTTTTATCCTTAGCCTGTTTCTTAAGTTGCTCCATTTTTATGATATGTCTAATATTTTGGAGTTATAATGTCCCCCTTTTTCAATTTTGTTTGATATGTGCACTAATAAAAGGCCACATGGATAGGCTTGGTACAATTAGCTAGCCGATACATTTTTAAAAACGTAGAAAAAAATGTATTCAGTCATTAAAGATTGCACAACAAAGCGAGAGATGATCAGCCTTCAGTTAAGGGCAAAATGTGTTTAAAATTATCTCATAGATCCATATGATTAGTTTTTCAGCCTTATTACATACTATGTCGATTTTAAAGAGACAATGTGTGTAAACTTATCTAATAGATGATTAATTTTTGCTGCTTGATACCGTTATCTTTAATTTTCTCGTGACTCCAACAAATGTATAGACAATAGAGGATTAATTAAAGAGATATAACCATATCGACTCTTATCACTGGTCTCCATACATCTTATTTCTTTTTTGCGGAAATAACAAAATAATTTCAACCTGTAAAGATAATTTCCCGGCCCACGGATTCAGGTATCTTTGCATACTTTTTTATCTTTTCATGACTCCAACAAATGTGAAAACAATAGAGGATTAAAAAGATATAGCCATATCAACTCTTATCTCTGGTTTCCAAATATGTTTTTTTTTTTTTTTTTCGCGGAAGAAAAAAAACAAAAAACAAAAAGAAATTTAAACAATACAATTTCCACCTTTATAGATTATTTCCTAGCCCTATTGACATTATTATCTTATACATGGTGATAACTCTGAGTCAACTCTTGGGTATTCCTTAGATGAAAACGATCCTAGTACAAGATGAAGTGATGAACACTGAGAGGCAAGGTTGCCACGAGCGAGCTTCAATTTTCGGTGATCCTCCTCGTGGTACCCCTTAAAAACTATGCCGCTTCTCAGCCTTTCGTCTATAAAAGGCAAACAAAAAAAAGGCGAGAAGAGCAAGACGGCGGCTTCAATTCACCTTGCGTGCGTGTAAATCTTTTTATTGAATATCATTGCGTGGTATACGTCCATCTGTGTCCGTCTAGAACGATCTAGGAACTTTGCCAAATGCCAGTCATTGGGTATCTTATGACCACGGTGGACTATTTATGCATGGATATTTGCCACGCTTTTCACAGTTGTTGTTCACTGAGCGAGCAATCTAGCGATATCTCCCCAGATCTGCAAGGGTTCAATTCAGAAATCACAGCGCCGCTCTTCGATATTGCTACACGACTGGAAACAACACCAGCTTACTTTAAGGCAGAAAATGCTTGAGAAAATGCTCTTGACGTTCGTCAGTGTTGCTGTTGTCATATTGGCCTTGATGGTGAGTGAGTTCATATGAAGTACGACCTTTTCGAGAGTGATTTCAAAAAGCTTGATACGGAGGTCGTTCCACACTGCACACGACTCTCAATTAGTGAATATGAAATGTGGCTACCGGCAG